TGTAAAAAAAAAAAAAAAAAAATGAAAGAAATGATTATAATATAAAAAAATATTTTATACTTTAAAACTAACGTTTCAAGAAGAACAAAATTAAATACTAAGACAAAAAATGCACAAATTAATGTCCAGGCTGCTAAATTGTCTGGTTTTATAGATTTCAATGTTTCTTCCTCTGTAATAAAAATTTTTTTTTTAATAATAATCATAATTAATATTTGATTACTATTGTTTAATTTAAATATATTTACCAGTTTGTTTTCCTTCATTTCGCATTGCCTCGCGAATAGCAATTCGACGTTCTGTAAAATTCCATGGAAGGAATAAAATAAAATTAAGAATTCCCATTATGACATTTATCCAACCAGTCATAGTATACATATTAATAGGTATATTTATAAAATATACACCCTTTTCTCCAAGAGGTGTAACTGCAGCTTGTAAACTAGGACCTACCACAAATCCTAATACCTAAGATATTTTAGGATAAGTTAAGTTATAAGAAATTATATTAACTTACATGAAAAAATATTAAATTTATATTACCTGAGCAAGAGATACCATTGAAACAGCATGTGTCCTTTCCACAAATTTTGTAGCTGCTGAGAGATAAGACCGTGCTACTGCAATATTAGCTGAAAGTATCATATTATGAAAATAAATAATAAGATTTTATATTTAATAGATAATATTTAATATTATTAATTAATATAATAAAAATATAATAAAAATAACAAATAATATTATATAATAATATTATTATATATTACCAGAACTAACTCCAACCAAAAATCTGGCAACTATCATATACATTTTTCGATCGCCTGGTACAATCTCAAGAACACTATATAATCCTGATGCAAATGTAAATAAAGCTAATGTTGATAAAAGTGGAAGTCTTATAGATCCTCTTTTATCTCCCCACCATCCTACTAGAGGAGAAAATAACATTTGTCCTAAAGGATTTGCTGCAACTACATATCCCATGTATTCTTTACCAGCAGCACTATCCAACTACAATATTGATGTATAATATTACTATATATCAAAATTTATCTTTATTTTTCCTTTATTGTATTCACCTTATCAAGATATGGCCATACTCCTGTTAGTATAATACTAAAACCCAAAGACATAAGAAACATAGTAAAATAAATTACATAAATGCTTCTCCATCGTTCTTTTTTCTCAAAAACAGTTTCCAAATCATCATCCACAAAAGTATTGTTTCTATTATAATAAAAATAAAACTTATTATTTATGATAAAAATTATTAAATATTTAAAAATTTTATAATACTATACCTTCTATGAAATAATTTTTTACACCAAGCCATTAAAAGTTATCATATAAAATTTGCATAAAACAATAAATTATACTCTTATATTATATTCTTTTTATAAAGCTATAAATTTTTTTATTTTAATTACAAACTTAAATGTAAATTTTAATTTTTTTTTCCTTTCTCTCTCTTGAATTTTCAATGTTTTTTAATTTTAATGATAATTTATAAATTTAAAGAAGATATTAAAAGAAGATCTAAAGAAGAATTAAAATATATTATTTTAATTTATTAAAAAATAATAAAAATATATATATTTTTTTAATTTTTAAAATTTTCAAAGAAATAATTCATATTTATCAAATCAGATATTTATATTAAAAAATAATTGTTTTAAGCAATTTTAAATAATTTAATTTCATTTTATCAAAAATTTTTTTTATATTTTTATATGGGTATTTAAAGAGGATATTTATTATCTCAAAAATTTAAAGAATGAAATGTTACTTACTTTCTTTAATAAATAACTAAACTATTATTATAAATTATCATTTAATCATTTTTATCATAAATGAATAATAAATATATCACAAATAAAAGATGGTAAAATATAATATTTTGTATTATATTTATTACACAATTCTTTTTTTAAAATTTGCGCACACGCATGTCATTTAAAAATATTACAACTGCATTGAATTCGCGAACTTAAATAAAATTTGTATTCTGCATTATTGCGAATGTTATAGAATTTATCCATATAAAGCTTTCATTTGTTAATCACGCGAACAATGTACACTACAAGTTAGATTGATATATATCCGAAAGTAAATGAAACGTTCAATTGACTGACTCTGTAACTATGAAGCATATGTTTTTCAATATTTATATACATATAAACTTATATATATATATACATATATTATCATACATTATAATCACATTCTGATATTATGTACTATCATTTTCTAATTATTTGTAATTTTTCTTTCAATTCCTTAAATGTATCTTTAAACAAATAATTGATATATAATATATAATATATAATTTTTTATTTAATAAAATTTAATATATGGCAAAAACAAAAAATCACATGTTCACATAACAGCTGATTGACTCATTTCCGTTTTAAATATACAATATAAATATATGTATATATATATATACATATAAATTCATACATATATATATATTCACATTATTCATATAAGATGATTATGTTATTTAAACGTTATATCAATAAGAATTAACAAACATTAGAAATCTTATCATATTACCATAGAAAATCTGGTAGTTACATAATATATAAATTATTTATTAAATTAGATTATATATTATAAAGAAATTCATAACAATCTTACATTTATTTAATAACTCTTATAAAAAATAATTAAATATTCTTATAAAGCTTGATACAAAATTATAATATTAAATTTAAATCAATTTTGAAAGTTAAATTTTCTTGATTTTTATTAAACAATGCAAATTAAATATTAATTTTTTTTTAAATTATACAATAATCAATGTAAAATATATTACAATTTAATAGATAAAAATATGTTTATATAATAAAATTATATGAATTTAATTAATACTTTATTACATAACGAATGGTTATAGATTAATTATAAAGCTATTTACAAAAAATTTATTAGAAAATTTACAAAAGTTTTTTTATACATTTAATAATTATAAGGTCTATAACGTTGAGAATAATATCTATCAGAATTCCTATATATTTCACCTCTTTCTTGGGGAAAAAAATATCTTTTTCTTCTAGGATACCAAGGATCAATGATTGGAGGTTTTTTTAATTCCATATTTTTAACTTTCATAAATTCAATATCTTTTTCTGTATACCGATCTTTGAATTCATTTTCACATTCTTCCAAAAACTTTTTTTGTTCATCAGTTAAATTTTTTTCTTCCATGATGTCTTTTGGCTATAAAAAATAAAATAAGCTATAAAAAATAACAAATATATACTATTTTAAAAATAAAAACAATATCCAAAATTTTATATTATCAATATTTTTCAATTTCTATACATTCATAAATATATATAGTATAAAGTATAAAACATTGATATTATAATTAAAATTTATTTATAAAATTTTTTTGTTTTTTATATAATAACAAGAATACTATTATTTATTTAATAATATATTTTTAAACATTTTTTTAATATTTGTTATATATTTATTTACTTATAATACCTCTAAATAATCTAATTAAACTTTTAGTTTATAAAATAATGATTTGTGTTAGTTGGCCAAAAATTAGTCACTTCCCATAAACAAAATTTTAGTTTGATAGGTTATACTAATATTTAAAGAAGAATTGAATTTTGTGTCATATTATTTATAATATATAAGATTATATTTTCTAATAAATATTATTATTTTAAATTCAATTATATATATTACACACATTATCGTATAAAATAAGTTTATATAAATAATTTGTATAAAGAACCAATCATAATTCAAAGCATGATATAGAAATTAAAGAAATAAAGGATAATACGTAAAATGATAATTTACTCAAATTATATTATTTATTAAATTTATATTAGAACATATTAATATTAAAATAACGCTATACATATAAAACATATACAAATCATAGAAATAAATGATAAATTATGTGAAATAAATGAAGAAAGCTTATATACTATATTTTCTACCAATATAACATAGCATTTTCATATAAACGAGCTTTAAAAAATTTTGGCGGTACAATCGTCAGCATACATGTTCTTATACTTATGTGTGTGCTATTTAGCTGAAATTTGTTATACAATATTCATTAAAAATACAAAAAAAGTATTCATTTATAATTATTTATAAAGTTAAAAATACATTCCTGGTGTATTTATTTCGATTTAAATATAAAAAGTTTATATTTTATAAAAAATAATATTAATTGTAGATAAATTCGATAAAAATAATCGATTTTATCCAATATGATATCTACTATCATACCAAACACCGAAACTTATGAGATAGAAAAACAAATACAAGTTGAAAATGATACGGAAGAACAACAAATATCTTTAAATAATTGCATTATAGAAGAAAATAAAAACGCAGGTAAGAAATAAATAATATTTTCAAAGAAAGTTCAACTAAATAATAAAGGTTAAATTTAATTTATTCTCATTAGTGATTGATACTATGATACTTGAAGAAAGCAATAATGATAGAAAAAAACTTCGTAGTGGAAAATACATTAGTACGAACACATCTAGTTTGAGTAAAATTAATGGAGATTTAAATAAATATGGATTATCACAACAAAGAATGCAATCTGTTAAAAAATCTGTTAAAAGAAAAAGTAATGGAGTTGAAGAATTGGAAACAAAATCTCTTATGTTAGCACAAAACGAAAAAGTACTATGTGATAATAAATCTGATTTGAAACAAATGCAATCAGATTCAAGTGATGAATCTGAAAGTAATATTCTTAAAAAAAATAAAACTGAAAATAATAATATAATTAATACAGAAGAATCAAAAATAATGCATCAGAAACCCTTTAATGTTCATCAAAAATGTGAATATTGTTGTCAGAAATTAACAAGTATAGATATAAAAATATATCCAGGTCATCCTAATAATGCAGTAGAAGAAATGATTGCATTAACAGATCCTAGATTATCTTTATTCACAGGAGAAGAAATTGTAATACATGAAAGTGATGAAAGACCACAAAATAAAATTACTCATTTCTGGTAAGAATTCTTTATAATAAAAAAATAGATAAATTTCTTATTATTATTATGTTATGTATTATTTTATTTTTCTTTTTATAGCGTTTATGATAAAAATGGACATTTATGTTCTTTTGACACTGGTTTGATAGAAAAAAATGTGATACTTTATTTTTCTGGGTATATGAAACCTATTTATGAAGAAAACTCATGTCCAGAAGGAGGTGTGCCTACAAAAGACATGGGACCAATAAATGAATGGTGGGTGTCAGGATTTGATGGTGGTGAATTGGCACTTGTAGGATTTACTACAGCATTTGCAGAATATATATTGATGGAACCTGCTGAAGTATATTCACCATTTATGGATTCTGTAAAGGAAAAAATTTACATGAGCAAAATAGTTATAGAATTTTTATTAGATGAAATCAATCCTACATATGAAGATTTGTTAAATAAATTACAAGTAAGAATTTTCATTAAGATTTAGCAAAAGTAAAATATTTTAACTTTTAATCTACAACTTTTATTAAAATATATTTTTTTAGACTATAGTTCCACCAAAAGGATTATCTAGATTTACAGAAGATTCTTTATTACGGTATGCACAATTTATCTGTGATCAAGTTATTTCCTTTGATGCATCAGCAGGACCAGAAGATCCTTTGTTAATTACAAGTCCATGTATGCGAGCATTAGTGACTCTTGCCGGTGTAACATTAAATAAAAGAATTGCATTACGCAGAACACAATCTAGAGATCAAAAAAATAAAAAAACTACTTGGACGAAAGCTACAACCACAAAATTAGTTAATAATATGTTTGAAACATTTTTTTCTGATCAAATAGCTACAAATAGCGATAAAGAAATATCGGTATATAAAATTGAATAATGAAAATATATGAGTAATGAAAATATTAATATTAAACAATATTTTAGTATAGTAAATATAATGTATCATTACAGGGACCGAAAAGACATAGATGTGGGATATGTGAAACTTGTCAGCAGCCAGATTGTGGAGTTTGTACAGCTTGTAAAGACATGATCAAATTTGGTGGATCTGGAAGAAGTAAACAAGCTTGCAACAGAAGAAGATGTCCAAATATGGCTATACAAGTAAAATATTTTAATAAATATTTCCAATCTTTATTCTAATATAGAATTTATTTTGTAATATATAATTGAAAAAATTTTAAATAATTATAGGAAGCTGATGATTCAGATCAAGAAGATGATGATTTTAATGATACATTAATAGAAAATACAAAAATTACTCAAAAAATGATTTTAAAAGAATTTAAACATGTAGAAAAAGAAATTACATGGATGGGAGAATCTATAATAAATGATGGTCGGAGAACTTTTTATAAATCAGTTATGGTTGTTGATGAAGAAATAAAAGCTAATGATTATGTTTTAATTGAATCAAATGATCCTACTGTACCATTACAAATAGCTAAAGTCATTTATATGTGGGAAGATAAAAATGGTGCAAAATTGTGTCATGCTAATTGGTTTCGAAGAGGCAGTGATACTGTACTTGGTGAAACATCAGATTCTTTAGAATTATTCTTACTTGATGAATGTGATAATGTTCCATTTACTTCAGTTAAATCCAAAGCTACTGTTATTTATAAAACTAATCCAAAAAATTGGAATGAATTGGGTAATTATATTTTTTATTCTTGGAATTTTATATTATTATTATAAGTTAAATATCAATTAATTATATTTTAGGAAATGCAGATATATTACCAGAAGATGAAATACAAAATAAAGATGGAAAAACATTTTTTTATCAAAAAAAGTATATTCCAGAAACAGCTCGTTTTGAGGATTGTTCTTTGGATCCTGAATGCCCGCGAAAAGAAATCAGTCATCGGTTTTGTCCTGCTTGTATACGTTTTACTACATTACAATGTTATTATACACCAAAAGTTTTTGATCGGGAAGAAGAGAAGAATAGCAAAGAAGTGACCTATAATATAGTAAAATATAAAAATGAAGAATTTAGAGTTGGTTCTGCTGTATTTTTAATGCCAGGAGCCATAAAATATAAATATACATCTACATATCACATTTCTCAAAAAATGAAAAAGGGAAAAGTAGATGAAGATATGTACCCTGAATATTATCGAAAATCATCAGATCATGTAAAAGGATCAAATTATGATACACCAGAACCATTTCACATTGGATATATAAATTCAATTTATGCAACAACTAATAATAAATTAGTTGCATCATCTGATATATGGATTAAAATAAATAAAATGTATCGACCAGAAAACACTCACAAAGGACTTACATTAATGCAACAAGTTGATCTTAATATGGTATATTGGAGTGATGAAGGTAAAATATTAGAAAAATAATAACATAAAAAATTATATAAATTAATATAAATTGATTAATATTTTTTTTTAAATAAAAACATTTTAGTTTGTGATATTAAGTTTTCGGATGTAGCTGGAAAATGTTATTTGGTATATTCAGAAAATTTAGATCAATCTGTAGAAGAATGGACTACTGCTGGTCCATATCGTTTTTATTTTTCTCAAGCATATAATGCTTCAGAAAAAACATTTGTCGATCCACCATATTATGCTATGAATATTGGGAAGTTGGGAAGTGGAAAAGGAAAGGGAAAAGCAAAATGTAAAAGTAAAAAATTAGAAACAAATGATAAAAAAGTAATTGATAAGCCTATAAATTATTGTAAAGTGCCAAAAAAGTTAAAAACATTAGATGTTTTTGCTGGTTGTGGTGGTTAGTACAATATTAAAATTGAATTGCAAATGATTAAAGATTTTTCTAAATTAAAATTGTTATAGGATTTGTTATATATATTGTTATATATATGTTATAGGATTATCTGAAGGACTACGACAAGCTGGTATTGTAGACAATCAATGGGCAATTGAAAAAGATGAACCAGCTGCATGTGCATATCGACTCAATAATCCCAATACAACAGTATTTTGTGAAGATTGCAATGTACTTTTACGAAAAGTTATGAATGTAAGTTTAGCTAAAAAAAGATAATAAATAATTTAATATATATATATATATTATGTTTTTTTATCTTTTTAGGGTGATCTTTGTGATAATAATGGACAACGCTTACCTCAAAAAGGAGAAGTAGAATTATTATGTGGCGGTCCACCTTGCCAAGGTTTTAGTGGCATGAATCGTTTTAACTCACGGCAATATTCTCTATTTAAAAATTCTTTAGTAGTATCATGTTTGTCTTATTGTGATTATTATAGACCAAAATTTTTTATTATGGAAAACGTTAGAAACTTTGTATCATTTAAAAGAAGTATGGTACTAAAATTAACATTAAGGTGCCTTGTACGAATGGGTTATCAATGTACGTTTGGTATTTTACAAGCTGGAAATTACGGTATTCCACAAACAAGAAGAAGGTATCATATTTAACTTATATCGAATTATAGAAATTTAATATTTTAAATTAATATTTCATATTTTTATTTCATAATTTATTTGCTTTTAGATTAATAATATTAGCTGCTGCACCTGGAGAAGTTCTTCCAAAATATCCTGAACCAACTCATGTATTTAGTAAGCGAGCATGTCAACTAAGCGTTATTGTTGATAATAAAAAAGTAAGACTTTATTAAATTTATATAGAAATTATTATATAGAAATATTATTTACTATATAAATTAGATAATTATATTATTGTGTTATTTTTTGATAGTATTCATCAAATTGTGATTGGATGGAATCAGCACCATATAGAACAATTAGTGTTCGCGATGCGATGTCTGATTTACCTAATATTCGAAATGGATGGAACAATGAAGAAATAGCTTATAGTGATGAACCAATATCACATTTTCAAAGAAAAGTAAAAAAAATTATTTAATACTAATACTAGTTAACTATTAATATTAACATCATTAATTATTTTTAACATATTAATTACTATTATATCATAAATTATATACATCTAAAATATCTTTAAATGTACTTATATATTTATTTATAGGTAAGACCTAAAGAACCTGATACAATATTAAGAGATCATATTTGTAAAGATATGGCTCCATTAGTTGAAGCAAGAATAGCACATATTCCAACTGCAAGTGGATCTGATTGGCGAGATTTGCCGAATATTATAGTCCGTTTAAGTGATGGAACATACTCAAAAAAATTGTAAATATATTTTATTTATAATTGTATATTACAAATAATTATTTATAATATTATATTATATATAATTATAATTAATTAATTAATTAATTAATTAATTAAATATAATTATAATAATATATATATAATATTTAATTATTTCTATTTCTATTTATATAAATATTATTATAATAAATAATAATAAATAAAAATTAAAATTATAATATAATATACTATTAAATTAAGTAATAATTTAAAAAATAATAATTTAAATGTTTGTGTTATAGAGAATATATGTATCATGATAAGAAAGCAGGTAAAAGTTCTACTGGAGCACTTCGAGGTGTATGTAGTTGTTGCATGGGTAAAATGTGTGATCCAATTGCTAGACAATATAATACTTTAATTCCATGGTGTTTACCACATACTGGAAAGCGCCATAATCATTGGGCAGGTTTATATGGCAGATTAGAATGGGATGGATTTTTTGGTACTACTATTACTAATCCTGAACCTATGGGTAAACAGGTAAATAATATGTTATCTTTTTTTTTAATTTTTTATTCATAAATGTTTAATTCTATTATCTATTTCATAGGGTCGTGTTTTACATCCGGAACAAACTAGAGTTGTGAGCGTAAGGGAATGTGCACGATCACAAGGTTTTCCAGATTCTTTTCGTTTTTATGGAAATATACTTGATAAACATCGTCAAATTGGTAATGCAGTTCCACCACCATTAGGTGCTGCTTTAGGTTTCGAGATTAGAAAGTGTTTAAAAAATGACAATATATTAAAAGCAAAAATTGAAGATTTTCACGATTGATAACAATATATTATAAGCATAAACTTTATGAAAAAAACTTTAAATATTATTTAAAATCTTAATAATAGTTTCTAAGTTAAAATTTATTTTATCTATATAAATTTACCCATATGTGTTCAGTAAAGACATAAACAAATGTTTTTACTAGTTATATGACCAAAAGTATTATGTGATGCATATTTTTATGCAATATTAGCGGTAAAAACAACGTATTCCAGTATATGTAATTTTCAAGGATAAATATATCAGTATTTTAAGTTAACTTAAGAAACTAGTTTTCAAGAATTTTGTTTAATACCTTTCATGTGGAATCAAAAAAATTATTGTAAAAGTTTTATCTTATTGCACATTATTGTGTTGAATTATGGCATTATTTAATCAATTTTAATTATTAATAATTAATAACAAATTATATAATTATAGAATTAGAAAAATCCGTAAAAAAAATTATAAGATTTATAATGAATCAATAGTTTTTTAATTATGCTAAATATATAAATATTAAGGTTTTTCATCTATCAATCGCTGTTTCATATAATAATTTCATAAAATATTTGTAATTTTATCACATTATATGTATATATTGTATCTTTTTGCAGTGATATATTAAAATTATTGTTTATTCTTTATTAATATAATTTTAAAAGAAAAATACTAACTATAAATGAATACTAACTATAAACTATAAAAAAAAAAAAAATAAAGTTAAATAATACAAAAAATATTTATTATGAAATAAAATTTTATAAAGAAATTATGTTTTTAATTTTTTAATTCTAGAGATTATTATATTTAAAATATATATTAATATTTAAATTTTTTATAAATAAATAAAAATAGTTATTTAAAAATAAATATTTTACAATAAATATTAATATATATATAATAATAGATAATAGATAATCAAGATTAATTTTACTCCCATTCACAGCTGTTCAAGTTTGTTAAGATAGGAATGATATTTTCAAGACATAAAATATATATATTTGAATAATTTAAAGAATATTCACATTGTTTTTGTTATCATGTGGGCTGATACTATTTTAATTGTATTTATTAGTATTTGTACAGCATTATTAGGAGAAGGTAATGACACTTCAAATATTATGCGTGCGTCGTTTTAAGTTTAAGGTTATATTTTCTATTTTCATATTATACTATTTTTAATTAATTTTCATATTATTAATAGGTTTAACGTGGTTAATGGTTTATAGAACAGAAAAATATCAAAAATTAAAAGCTGAAATAGAAAAACAAAGTAAAAAATGTAAGTTTTTTAATAAAAATTATATTAAAAAATTAATTATTATAAATTAATTCTTTTAATTTAAACGAATAAAACTAAGTATAGTTTTAATAAATTAAATTCTTATCTTTAATTAATTTTAGTGGAAAAAAGAAAAGAAGCACATGGAGATTCATTAGATAAACAACAGAAAAAAAAAATTGAACGAGAAGAAGAAAGATTAAAGAATAATAATAGAGATTTATCTCTTGTGAAAATGAAATCAATGTTTGCAATTGGATTTGCATTCACAGCTCTTTTAAGTATGTTTAATAGCATTTTTGATGGTAGAATTGTGGCAAGATTGCCTTTTGTTCCAATTAGTTGGATACAAGGTTTATCACATAGAAATCTTCCAGGAGATGACTATACAGAATGTTCATTTATTTTTTTATATATATTGTGTACTATGAGTATTAGACAGGTAAATTCATACCTTCATATTTTTTTATTTTTATTTTAATTTTATTATTTCATAATATTTTATTTTAATTTTTATTTAAATAATTATTGGTTGCAGAATATTCAAAAAATGCTTGGATTTGCTCCTTCTAGAACTGCAAGTAAACAAAGTGGAAGTATTTTTGGTCCTCCACCTCAACAATTTAAATGAATTTGAGCAAATATTAAATTATAAATTCATATATATATATGTATATATATGATATATATCATATATACAATATTATTATATATGATATATATATATATATATATTTTGTTATTTAATTATTATTTAAATTTTTATACTATAAATCTTGATAAAATATTTAAATATTTATGAATAATTAATATTAAAGTTATAATTAATATTGATTAAAATTACATATATTACAATATAAATTTACTATATTACTATATTACACTTGCTCTATTTAATTAAACGTAATAAATTAAGTATTCAATACTGTGATGTTTCTTTTTTAATTAAACTTTATATAATACATTATATTAATGTAGATTATAAAATTATTAATAACTTATTATTTAAACATTAATTGTTAACGTTTTTGAAAAAATTATATACTATTAATAAAATGGATAACTATAAACATAAAAACAATGACTTTATATAAAATTGAAAAGATAAATAGTAATATTTAAAAATACGAGGAGAAAATAAAATATATAAAGAAGTCATAAAGGAAGCATTGATATAATGCAGCATATTTTAGAAAATAGGTGTGATTCATATATTCCATCAAGCAGTTCTTATACAACAATCAATGTTATATACAAACATAACGATCAATCATATACAAAAGATAACCACTACCCTTAATTCGTAAAAAATATTTAATACAATAATATATCAGTGATCTATTTCATAGAGCACATATTCAAACTTGTATGTGAAAATATACTCTATAAATATTAGATCTTTTTGCATTTAACTAGTTCAAATCATATACATTTTTACTAAAAATTCTTGCTTTCTTTTATATTATTACATATTATTTAAGCCTAAAACAGTCTCTTGTTATTAGAGCTAGCGACGTTTTATACAAATGATACAATTATAATATTTACAATCAATCTACATACACGATTAAATATATTTTAATTTAATAAAAAGTTACTTAAATCATTATTTGAACTTTTGGTGTTATGATGTTCCGTTGTATATTACGCTTAATTCATTTTAACAGCATTTTAATTACATATATTCATTAGTATGTAGAAAGCGATAAAACACCCAACTGGCAATCGGAAAGACAAATGCTTATTAAATTGGAATTTGCACTTCCTGCTTACTAGTGTCATATCTTTTGAAATCACTCTATTCGTCATGCCAATAAGATTAAAACTTGCAACGATTCTATTTTTTTGATTACATCAACCATACTTTCGGCAGTGGTTACTATTTGTAAACCGCGAACGTAAAGGGAAGACATATTAATCGAGATATCATTTTATATGAAGTGCTGTAATTTTTAATACATTTTGGAAATAAATAAAAGTATTTTTTCCTTCAAATTCTTTTTAAAATATCTATTCGAAATTATAATAAAAAGTAATGTGTAGGAACCTCTTGCCGTCCAGCAGCCGATGAACCTATGTTTTTCTTTCATTGTCATTTTAGATTTAAAGCAGTTTTCAATCTTGAAAGTCTGCAAGTATATTTCACGAAAAATAAATTTATTATGCTTTCTTTTTATAATATTTATCTTTCGTATTATATGATGCAAATAAATTGAAAATTATCAAATATTAAATTAAATAGTTTAAATCTCGTGAAAATGTAAATGTAAATATCATGTGCTTAATTCTTTGCATTATTTAATAAAAGATTGCACATTATTAAATTTTTTAGCTAATGTGAGCTTGTGTCTAATATGATTTCAATAGTATCATATTCATTTCTATTGATTCATATCAAATAGAATGAATGTTTATGTTACACTACTATGAAAATTTCAAATTATTCATTATTTTAAATTATTTCAAAATGGTGGACAATTCACTCCAGGATGTAAATATTGACATTTGTCACCGACTCGACAATAACCATTTTTTGAAAATTGTCGGCACACAGGTGGTTGTTTTCCATTTCCTCTCCATCCACCACCACCTCCTCTCCATCCACCTCTTCCAGGGGGTCCTCCACCACCTCTATACCAACCAGGTCCAGGAACACCTCTACCTCTACCATGCATTGGACCAGCACCTCTAGGACCTTGGAAATTAGGTCCAGGGCCGTATAATGGACCAGGAGGTCCTTGAAAATTATTTGGATTCATATTATTGAATCCTATATCTTCTGGACCCATTATACCATAACTTTCTTGTTGTTGATTATACATAGGTGGTGGTCCCATCATTCCAGGTGGTACCATTGGACCACCTTCCATTCCTGGTGGAAATGCATTTGGTATATTTCCCATTGGATTCATTGTCATTCCATCAGGTACAACAACTTTTCCATCTCCAGTTCTCCATCCTCCTCCTCCTCCTCCTGCTCCTCCTCCTCCAGTAGACATTGGACCACCCATTTCAGGACCCATTGGACCCATATGAGAAGGTCCCATCATTTGCTGAGACATTTGAGGCATTGGACCCATTGAAGTTTGAGGACCCATAGGTGTCATTACTGGTTGTTGATTATGAGAAAATGATGGATAATGAAAATTCGAAACTGCCGGTGTTTGAGGTTGCAATTGAGGTTTTGGTTCTGGCCATGGCATAGATGTAAAATCTTTCTCACTTTCTTTATTTCCTGTGAGATCATCCAAAGGAATGATTTTAGGTTCGTTATATATGTGATGTCGTTCTTCATCAGGCTCTGCTGCAGAATCTGGAATCCTGAAAATTAAAAATTAAAAATTCATACATCAAATAAAATATTTTACTTAATCGATTTATAAGATATTTTTTAAATATTTTCTGTAGAACTTGTATCAATGAATTATAGTTCATATATAAAACTATCCAATGGTTCAAAGTTCTTATTCTGTTAATATGGCATGCTTAGTCTTACACAAATTATTATTTTTGTAGTAATTATATTTGTGTGTGTCAACATGCATAATTAAATTTAATTTTAATAAAGAAAAAATCTAATATATAGCATGTATATACATACATGCTTCGATTAAAATATAGTGCCTGTAATATTCCTTTTTCTCGAGCATATTGAATATCTTTTTCTCTGCTATCTTTTCCAGGCTCTACTAAAGGTGGCGGTAAATCAATTGGAATTAAAGGTTTCCATCTTGTTCTTTCTTCCATTAAATCTTCATTACCTGTAAGATCATTTTTTAAATCATACTTTTTTTAATATTTAATACAATAAAAAAATCATATTTTAATAACTTACTTAATTTTCTAGCCATCTGGAATGCTTCCCTCTCGTTCTGTTTTTCCATTTGTTTCATATCAGTAAATGTTTTTGTTACGTTTACTCTCTCTGTTTCATCTAATTCGAAATAACGCACTGATTCAAGGTCTGTTTTCCATTTTAATATTTTCTTTGGTCCTTTGCGTTTCTGAAGTAATAAAACACTTCTTAAACCATCAACATATCGTATTTCTGGATAAGAACCAATATTTTCTTTCTTCGTTGATTCAGATATGGAAGATATATCTTCCGGAGAATTAGTTTTTTCTTCCGTATCATCTTCCGGTGTTGGTGCTAAAAAACAATATTTAAAAAATTTTTTTTGAAGTATATATATTTAAAATATTGAAATATTTATATAATATATATTTGAATATATTTGAAATATTTATTTAAATCGATAAATGGAAATAAAATAACTTACTGTTACTTCTAGCATCATCATCGATATCCGTTTTGAATATTCTGTTTTCTTTTTGATCGTCTATCGTTTCTTCTTTCTCTTTTTTCGCATCTTCATCTGAATTTTCCCTTTCCTTTTGTTCTTTATCTTCATCCGTCTCTAACGTATCTTGATAAAACTTAGAAGAAAAAAAATTTTTATAGTATAAAAATATATAAGACACGTATTAATTTTAATCATTAATGCAATAATAATTATATATACTTTAAAATTAGGCTTGACAACAACGGGTGATTTTTCATCGGCACTTGGTGGTGAAGTAGGTGGAGGTGTAACATCACGATTATCACTATTGGCAGTTTCTTGTTTCTTAGCTTCCGTGGGACCATCTTTCGTGATAGATGTTCTTCGTTTTCTCTTTCTTGGTTCTTTACTTTTCGTTGATGCGGTCAAAGCATCCATAAACATATCACTTTCTTGCAAAACCATTGCTGTAAAAAATGCAATGAATATTTATAAATAAAGCAAAATAAAAAAAATTTATATTAATACCAAAATTATTAAAAAAATAGTAGTAAAAAATATTTTACTACTATTAAATAGGGAGAAAAGATTAATACTGCCTTAATATATCTACAATAAAATATTTATATTAAACATTTAGTTTTTAAAAATCAAAAATATAAATTATAGAATTATTGATCAATAAATAATACATTTTATAAATAATTTTCAAGTAATTTTTGAATTTTTGCTACAATCACGAAAGAAAAAAATTCTATCTTTTCATTTACTCGATTAATGATGAGATAAAAATCATAATTACATTTATAGTAATATAATGCTGTAAAAGAAATATTCAGTTGTTCAATATTTAATTGCATATGTCTGCATCAATCCATATAAAATTCCATCACCTGAAAAGAAAAAGAACTTATAACTTTATAAAACTGCATGAAGATAGAAGTAAATTCCTTATTCCATGATAGATCTATAAGCAAATAATACTCGTAACAAATATTAAGTAAAAAATGAATAAGAAGGATATCCATAATGAATCTGTAACAAAAATACAATTACTGTTTTTTAATAATATAAAATATTTTATTTTAAAATAGTATTAAAAAAACGAAATCACTGATTTATTAATAAAAAGAATTTATATAATATTGGATAAATATTAAATAATATAATTAAATTTTTTTTAAATTACGCATTTATAAACATAATTATAAATTATATCATTAATTGATTTTTACAATGAACAAATCAATAAATTTACTAATAGATCAATTATTTTCTATATATTGAATTATTTCATTTATTCGTAACTTCAGATTTAAAAGAAAGAATAAATTCGTATATATTAGTTCTATTATTTTAAATCATTCATAATATCAAAAAATTAAGAATGTAAATAAATTAATTTAAGAAAAATAAATATAGATTAAGTTCTCTCTATAGAACATATACTTTTTCTTATTACATTATTTCCCTTTAAATATTAGTAAAAAATGATATTAAATGAAAGAACATATTTAAATTAAAATCTTTATATTTTTTAACGATGCAATAAATTAAATATAATTTATTATTTTTCATTAATATTATATGAAAAATTGTACTTCAATTATTACATATATTATTTTTTTATTTATTATTTTTAATGCATAAGAATAAAAATTTTATATATTTAATATTTAATTTTGTTTACTATTTTTTGAATTTTTTAGATTTTTAAATTCAAATTTATGTATGTATTCGTTAATTAATTTTGCACGTATTCGTTACAAGATACTCAATAGCTGTAAGAAATACGAAAATTTATTATTAAACGAATTTACTTAAAAAATTTGTTACTCTTTCATATAAATGAATAATAAACTGAACGTCGAATAAAAATTCAATAATTGCATAATAATAACAAAAATTATTATATACGTAGAAAGAAAATCTAAGAAATATATATCAAGTCGATAAGTCATATTGATAATTATATAAATGTTTTTAGAATGTATTCGATAAAAGTGATAATAGTAAACTGGGGAATAATATGCGGGTTTTAATTATACGGCTCCAATTTTATTTCCATAAACCTTTGATTCATGCTCAAATAGTTACTTCATTTTAAAAATGTTTCAAATTGTAAGCGTGCTCTTAACGTATTATATGTACGCAACAATCGAGACGCATTTTCTTTGATAACATTTCATTTCGTTTGTAAAAGTAAGTTTTTTTTGATGAATAATACATACTAATTTTTTTGTCGAAAATTATTATTAAGATTTTACGCAATTCATTAACAATGATTTTCTATTCTTTGCGCGTATGCAAGATATATTAAAAATATAAATTTATTTTCATTTTTAAAGTAACGATACGAAATAAAGATACGATTTTGTATTCTATTTTATATAAAAATGAATATGTAATCATTTACGATTTAATCAAAAGCTAAATATTTGTCAATATAAATGTAATTATAAATAACAATTTAAATGTAATATGCAAATTAAAGTTATATATACCTTAAAATTAGTGTAACTATTTTGTTTTTAATATTATATTTAATAAATAGCATAAAAATTATTATAAATAAAAACGGCATATTTTTTTTTGA